TCCTAATGTAACAACAACAACAACTACTACTACCACTACTACTATTATTACTAATACTACTACTACTACTACTACTACTACTACTACTACTATCACTACTATTACTACTAATGATAATAATAATAATTTAAACAACAGTAACAAATTATAAACTAATTACCATTTTTTGTTTATGTATATATTGCTCATTCACTAATTTTAATAGAATATAAAACTACGAAATAATGTGATGTTCAAAATGAAAAGTTTATTTGTTAAATTTTTTTGTAAGTTTATTTATTTATTTGTTTGTTCATTTTATTGTTTGGTCAAATATATAATCAAACTTAAATTTTAAAATTTATGATTACTACTTTGATTTATTTCAGTAGTACCTTATGAATCTTGAATTATTTATAGCTAATTAAAATTAATAAAAACGGCTATTAAAAAGATTTGGTGAATTTTATAAACAAAATGTTTATTTTAAAACCTAAAATTAAAGCAGAATATTGGAATTAGATTTTAAGAAATTTGAAGTAGTTCTCTTTTTTTAATGTAGTAAAATAAACAATTTACACTAAATGAATCAACAGTTTAGAGATTATATTAACTTATTACTCAATAGTTTCATGTGCTTTCTATAAAAGGATCTGGTAAAGTGCTGGAATAACATATTTTAAAATGTTTAATATGGTGGTTTAATTAGATTGTTGGGTACTGTTGAGATTATGAACCAACCCAAGTTACACAAATATCAATTGGTCACTTTGAGAGGAACTATACAGGGTCCTAGTGAGAAGCTGTGATTAGTCTAATACAGTAGTGTGGGGTGTAAAGGAGGTACTCGCTGACGATAATAGGAGATTGTTGAGCAATGTCAAAAATTAATTGAATTAAGATTATACAACATTGAATGTCAACTCAGCTGTCTAGAGGTTAGGTTTTCCCTTCCAGACCGGAATGTCATGAGTTTGGTCTTCGGTGGGGTCGTGATTGAGCTGTGATGAGTCACATTCTACGATGGAGCAGCTGTTCAGATTTTCAATGGTCATCTCGAATTCGTTCCTTATCTCGATAAAATATGAAAACGTTATTTTACCAACTTTACTGTTTACTCAATATTACATAATATTTTTCTGAACAGAGATATAATCAGTCAGTAACAACGTGGAACTTCGTACGTACGTACACCAGTTCCAGTTGCCACACCACATTATCACAGAGATTCAGTTATCGATTCAAATCCCATAGTGGTAGAGGTAGTGAAAGTATAATTAGCGATCGGAAACATTAGGGTTTGATAATGTTATTTAAGGAGTATAATCCATTGCGATAGATTTGGAAAGAAAATAAAGGACATGAAGAATTCAGAAGATTAGAGTTTGAGAGAACACAAAGAGTGGATGCACCTGCGCCATTGCAAACGATTTTGAGCCATGTCATTCAAGGTCTCTAACCATCGGTTGCTATCATCTCGCGGCCCCCAACCAGGTAGTCTACATCTACCAAAATGGCTCAGCCCACTTGTCAGTGACTTCATCGATTTGTGCCATGTTTTGGTCTGGCCGCCCCTATCTTTCTTCCAACCTACTCCCACACCATAAAACATCGCACGTCGGGGCAGTTGGTGGTCAGGCATGTGCAACACATGTCCCAGCCATCTCAACTGATTAAGTTTCACTACTTCATCAATTGATTTGCCATCCTTACCTAGTACCGCATTACTTACTCGGTGGTATCAGGATATACGAGCAATGTTTCGAAAGACATCTATGGTCAAATACTAGTAACCTACGAATATCCTCTACTCTTACCGGCCATGTTTCACTGCCATAAAGTAGGACGGAACGAACTGTTGCGCAGTAAACACGTCCTTCGATTGATAGACGGATATCTCGCCTACGCTACAAATGACGCAAGTTGGCAAAAGCTAGTCGAGCCTTCTGTATCCGTACTGAGATTTCGTCACACACCAGACCACAAGGGCTGATGAGACTTCCAATATAAGTGAAGCGGTCGACACACTCAACTACTTCACTCCCTATCACTAGTTCGGGTGTATATGCAACACAATCCTGAAGCAACATTTTGCATTTCGAGGGAGAAATAGCACAACGATTATCCAATGGCATTAGTGACAAGTGTTTTATTTCAAACATATATGAACCCTATCAGTCATACTTCTCAGTAGCATATCAGGAACATTTTAAAGTAAACCAATAATTAGCCAACTACTCTAGTTTAGCTGAAAGTGTTTTGTGATGGTGGATTTACATTATAGATTGTACTAGTCACAGGGTGACAATTATGCTATACTGAAAAGTTGAAATTGCACTAATGAACGCCAATCAAGTGGTTTTAAAGTTTAAGCGCACATGGAGATAACTGGAGGTTTTGGGTCGAATTTTTAGCGGGGACGAGTGTACACAGATGAGGAGTCACATACTAGAACAAACTTGGTGTCCAGTATTTCATGGTACTCTAAGACCACCCAACAAATAGAACCAGTCTCCATCAAATCTACTCAACTAAACTATAGTACGAGATCTCAGCTAGGGAACTGTTGAAAACTGAGAGGTACTGGGTAGCTGTTCAATCCTATCTGCGTATTAATAATGAATGTCGAACTAAGAAAAAACCAATGTCCAGTGGCCTCTAAATTTAAAAAAATTATTCAATGTTGATTAGTGACTATTTCTACAAACTATATTAAGATTGTTAACTACTGTGACTGTTTTAGTAACTTTTCGACAGTAAAGACTATTGAGATCACGAACAGATGAATTTTAGACCATCAGTGAAAACCTGGAAGCACCGGACGGTCGTTTTGTCTTAGTATGGGACTCCTTAACAGCGCGAATCAACGACCCCGAAAATGAGACTCAAACACAGGAACTTTGGTCTTGAGCGAAGGCTTAAACTCTGAACAATTGAGCCGGTATCGAACGGCAGTCGCTCAATATAATAGATTGGTTGGAGTTAAACATTAGCTCCATCGAATCAGTGACCAAAATACCTTTAGATCAATGGGCCTAAGTTTAATGATCTTCAGTAAGAAACCATTTCAATTTTGTTCTATTCGACTCTATCAATCATGACTTTCCTTTTCCACTTACATTGACTTAAAAACTTTTCTTCCTTTCATGTGCTATTGTGCATTGTATTCGTTTGAAAAGGTTCTCTTAATATTGATAGAAATTGTACGTCTGGTTACTTTTACTTTCATTATCATCATTGACTTACTCTTCATTTTAACAAGTGGTTGATAAATTTACAAATTTCCCCAAAATGTCCTAGTACGGTTGAGTATAAGATTCAGATCTCCCCCTTCGAAATTCTCTCACATCGGTTTCTACAGGCTTTTTACAACTGGTCGAGAAGTCTGGTGGTTGGAGCGTGCTAATGAACTGGAAACATCAGCTGCTTCCGGTAACTGCCGAAAGTCTCGGACGATGGGCTGAGTTTTTCATGGAATAATTCGACTGGTCTGCTACCCTGACAACATAGACCAGACTGTACTATCCTTCATGGTCTGCAACGACTGATCCACCTAACGAGACAGAAGACCGCAAGTAACTCCAAATCCTGAAGCACTACAAATCACCAGATCCAGATGACTTACCTCCGAATCTTTTTAAATATGATGGTGGATTTCTAGTTAAGGAATTGACTGAGTTGGTTACAAAGGCCTGGCAATTAGAGTGTTCTAACACCGTGGAATGAATCTAGTTGTCCCTATCGGGTGATAAGTCTACTTTCGGTTGCGGCCAAACTATTGGTTTCCGTTATAATTGGTAGATTGTTCGAAACCCGGGAGAGATTGACTCGCAAGGATCAGGCTGGTTCTTGTTCTGGTCGAAGGTGTATTGATCATGTTTTCACTCCCACACACACACCAAATGCAAGAACATCACCATACTTATCACAGGCCAACGATCACAGTATTTCTTGATATTAGGGCCGCCTTCGTTTCGTTGGAGAGGACCGTTCTGTGGGATTGTCTATTGAAGAAGGGTGTGTCTGAGAAGTTGATTAACATCCTGAGAACCCTATATACAAACATTTTAGGCAGAGTGGAATCATACAGCCATCTCTCTCTATTGTAGGGTTGTCCAATCTCACTATTCCTCTCCGACTTTGCTCTGATGGGAGTGGTCAGTGGGGGTGTGAATCTGTTGCATAGAGAAAGACTTTGACCTTGAGTATGTGGATGATATTGTTTTACTGTGCGATGATACTCAAACCATGCAATCAGCACTTAATCAGTTGGCAATTAGTGTCCGTAGGTATGGCATATACTTTGTACCTTCGAAGTGCAAAGTGCTTTTATAAGACTGGCAGAGCCCTGACCCTGCACTCACCCTGAGTAGTGAGTAGATAGAATTAGTGGAGAAGTTCGTGCACCTAGGTAGTTGCATAAGTGCTACTGGTAGTGTGAGTGGTGAGACCAATTCATGTATAATAAAATCCAGAGCGGCTTATGCTAATTTAGGCCATCTTTGGCTGCAAAAATCGGACCTACAACGCATCGGAGAGAGCAGTTTTGCTCAATGTTTGTGATATCTAGCCTCTCCGAGTTCGGGATGTTAGGCGACTCTCTTTGTTTGATCATCGTTTTCTCCGTAGGATTGCTGACATCCAGTGGCAGTGCTATGTTAGTAATGCAAAGGTTTGGTATCGTGTGTTTTGGCACAGCAACGATAATTCAATTAGTGTAACTATCTTGAAACATCAACTCCAGTGGTTTGGACATGTTCTGCGAATGTCGCACAGAGAATTCCACGTCGTGCATTATTTGCCGACTCTGGGACTGGTTGGAAAAAGCGGAGAGGTGGTCAGTGTATGACATGGTGTCGTGATATGAAAGAAAGCTGTACCGGACTGGCTTCTGTTGCTACTTCAGGACTCCTTGGTTGTGGTCCTAGAGATGGTGCAGCACAGTGCACCAATATTTATGTGTTCAAATAAATAAATAAAGATCTCAACAGCAGTGATGCGTAAGTGAAAACTCAATAAACTTGAAAGTACAAACAATAAAATTTTAAAAATGGACAAAAAAATTCGAAAACAAATTATAATCATTTTAGCTAAGATATGAATATTTTAGTCAGAACTAAAATAAATAAAAACACTTAGGAAATCATATTTATTCTCAGTAATCAATTTCAGATGATAAGAATACAATGACTGAGAGGGGTTTATTGACGCAGTTACTCACTAACCAATATTATGTGCATATAAAATGTAAACCCGATATATAATGAGAGCATTCTCCCATAAAATAGTTTTGTTGTGTTCTCCGAGCTCGATGATTTGGTAGTAAAACATTCATTATCGTTCCGTGTAACCTTTTGTAGTAAGCACTGATAATGTGTTGTCCAGAGTGAAAATGAGAACTCTGAAATTAGAACATTTATTTAGAAGAATTCAACACTGCCAAAAGTATCCACCTGAGTTGAAAAATATTCCCCATTATTTCATAGCATAGCTTATGTTGTCTATTACCACAAAGAATTTAACAACAACAAAGTGGCAATTAAATTGAATATTCTTTGCGAAGAAGACAAAATTTTTATTGGTATCCATAATCTATACATAGAAAAAATATTTGGTGTGAGAAAATGTAGTCAAAAATACATAGATATGTTGTTTTGAATGTATCCTTCAGATTTATCACAAAAAAATATTGAAAGCAATCTATTTGTATTGTAAAGCGAGATTTAAACAAAATACTAATCAGAATACTATTAATAATAAGGAAATGAGTAATAAACAAATGATTCCAGGCAAAAAAGAATACATTTGTTATAAATTAGATAGATGTGAAAGGTGGATATAAAGAAAAATGGACTATTTATAACAGTAGTAATAAAAAATTGAATAAAGTTACTAACTAATTTCACCAATTGGTGTAATACTAAGCCATAATTCTTGAGTAAATTGATATAATTCATCTGAAACTGAAACTTTATATTGTGTCGGTTTAGTTATACGTTTATAATCTGGTCTTAGAGTGTTTAATTCATTTATAGCGTATTCTCTAGATTCATTCAATGTTGGCAATGGTTTAACTAACTGTAATTGATAAATAAGAAGCAAAGAGAGAGAGAATGAGTGGGTAAGATGAAATCACGATAATTTAAATATTATTATAGTACATGTATTAGCGTTGCAAACAATTACTCAATAATACTTCGTCTAGTTTATGTAAACTGACGCAGTTCATCCAATAAATACGTAAACTGAAGTGGAAATTTTAATTTACAAAATTTAGAGTACAACAATCTTACCTTTCTTTAAAGTACTGCTTATTCGTGGCAATGCACTTTTGTGACCCGATATCTGACTTTAATTAGATCGTATGCTGATTGTTATCGAACTATACATGCTGCCAACCCTCGTATATTTTTATCGGATTAAATCGCGTTGGTGAATAACGGAATTAGATAAGTCAAATGAGAGAATGAATTTTGAATACGTATATTTCACAAACTTATTGATACGAACAGACAATCAGAGAAACGAAGTGACGCGCAGTGGAGAAGGCGAGTAAGCCAACTCATTTTGACTAAGCGGGACTCAATATATTCAGACAAAAATACGTTACAGACACGTGATGAATAGGGTAAGCAACTAACACACATACGGTCATATAAAGAACGGTTAGGGTTAATAAGCGAATAAATGACAAGATCAAAATGTGGTTTGAGAAAAATGAATAAATTGGTCTGTCCAGAAGCTAGAATAATCTATGTGGACTTGACGTAGTACTAGCCACTACACTAAAATACACAGATTTAAAATATGGCAAAAAATAGAATATACTGACGACTTTGAGTTGACAAATCAGAATTAAGATAACTCATGTATTTTGAACGAAGTATAGAGATAAGCGATATATGACGTGTACGTCATACCAAATGGAAATTGGTAATATTCGGTTCTTAAGATGTTTGAAATCGATGAAAATATCTGTTGTGCAACAAAAAAATGAATTTTAGGTGGTGCATAAACTAAATTCAACAGCATATCTGCTTCTACAGTAGATTGTGTTCTAAAGTACTTGATATCGTTGAGTGTTTAGTGAAGTTAGATAATGTTCTCTTTATTAATCTCATTTTATATCCCAAACTTTAGTTTCTCGATTTTGTAAACAGGAAGTTATCATGGCATTGAATTATAGCTGATGTCAATTCGTGTTGAAAACTCTGATCCTGGTTTGTAACTCTACCTCAAAACTCCAGTTTAACTCTTGATACTTAACCCTAATCTTTTTGCACTACAGTCAATGTCAGTTGGTGATGAAAACTCTATGGAGTGATAAACCTAGCTCACAACACTAGACTGACTCCTAATATGTATGTATATATGTAAACTTACCCTTTTTCTTTACCACAAGGGATAATTTGAGTTGTGAATGTTAATTATTACGACCAAAGCTGTTATAACACTGGTATTCCATTACTTTGTATTGTTAATTGTTTTATAACAAGGCACCATTTCCTGATTGGGTGATAAATCCTCCAAGGTCGTCAGTATATTATACTCTTACCAAAAACAGTTGTGGTAATAATTAATTAAAGATAAATAAATGATTTTAAATTACTTTTCCACAATTCCAATATAACTTGAGTAATTGTTCAACTCTTCCGGGTACAACAAAAACACGTTTCGATGCTTGAGTTGGGTGTCTACAAAGAATACGTTCATTAACGTTTGGAGAATCTTCATGTGAACGTTTCATTAAATCTAGTAATGCTTCACCTACATTAAAACAAAATTGAACTCATAAAAATTTTCGAATAATAAAAAAGTAAGGAAAAAGTGGATAGACATTCTGTATTGATTGAGACCTCTAAACAGTGAACACCGATGTTAGGGTCGATTTAAGTCAAAAATGCATAACGCTAAATAAATGGCTGAATGATATACTGACCACTGCGAAACTTTGCATCGATAAGTTATATTTAATGTAGCGTCGTATTTCCTCACTGTTAGAGGAGAGAAGTAGAAGAAATTAATAATACGTTTGAAAAACTCATTAGCATTTAGTCGTCAGTATCTTAATTCTGAATATCTAGTTAGTGAGATTGAATGGAAAATTAGAACAAGGGATAAACGACAAGATAATATCACCCAAAAATTAGACACATATTTCACCGTTCTAAGATACAAAGGGAAACATTTTTATATAATCACTTTCGAAAGTATCCTAACGCATAATTTCAATTAGTTGTTAATTCAAAAGACTATAGCACTATCTAAACGACAGTGCATTCCCGCACTTGCAGTCTTCTAACTGTAATATAATTTAGTTGATGTCTTTTATTATTATTTATGAAGATTTGACCTCTGAACAAGATAGTTCAGATATCAGAAAAACCCAGTTTTAATTTCAATAATGAATACTATTTTTGAATATTATTACCTAATCTCCCTCATCCTTTTAATTTCATACCTAACTGTTCATCATTACTTTTATAAATAATTCTGAGCACACAATACTACTAAAGAATATATCAAGGTATGTTTTACTACTTATAACAATAATAAGTACAATAAAACTTAGAGCGAAAACGTCATGACTAGAAGGCGTTTAAGTCAAAAAGCGTAGCTCACCTTGCTGACTATATAAACGATAAACTACTTTTTTTCCTGGCAAAGTAAGTTTTTCAAAATCAGCACTAAGTTTCATTGTTGGAGTTCCATTAATTTCAACAAGTTTATATACACATCCTAAGGCTGGTTGTTTTTGACAGGTGACTAAATTTGTTCCAACACAAAATGCATCAATTGAGTGATCCTGAGGATAGAAAATACAATAGCTCAAAATGCTCCGAATCAATAGGGCAAAAAATTAGGCAGATACTCACCAAAAACAATTAGAGATGATAACGTAACATCGTGGATTGATTGACGTCAAGCATACACACCAATGAATGCTGGCTCAGTGGTCTCGAGATTAAGCGTTCACCACAAGACTTGAAGGTCCTGGGTTTGATTACCTGTGGCGAGGTCGTGGGTGAGCACCGCTAAGGAGTTTCGTACTACGATGAAATATCTTTCCAGTCTTTCCTGGTTTTCAGTGAATATCTAACTTAGGTCAGTCAGTAATATAAATGACGGTGAATGCCTAAACATTTGATGACTTGAATAATATCCAAAAAAGCATAATGGACATAAAAGATACAAGCTAAAGATATCAAACTACGTCCAGAAAACTTTACATAATAATAAAAACTCAATGTACACAAATCAGTATACAAAAAAGGTATGGAATTTATTTTTGTAAAATGCAGTGTTTGTTTAACGATGAAATATGAACTAGAATGAATAGATAACAGAAAATGGAAGCATTTCTTCATGAATCAATCTCAAAAGCAATCAATATTAAAAAGGTAGAAATTGAAGATACAGACAGAAGAAAATAATGGAAACATATTTCAACCTTAGCTTGTTCTATGACATCAGAAAATGATTACAAGATTCCATAGTAAGTTGACATTTTATAAACTTTGACAAGTTAAAATTTTATGTACTACTAATATAAAGTTAAAAAGACTGAAGGATTATTTAGAAAAATCCAATATGGATAAATTTTTCAGTGGTTAGTGTACATTTTAATACTACTATATAGTATTTGTATGTTACACATATAAATAATAAGTTAATAAGTGTGCAAAAATCAGTTAAGATGCAGATAGATAAAAATACACATACCAACCTATTACGATCGAAAACAGTGTTCAAATCGATATAACTTAATGACGAAAGATTATTTCACATTATTAACCATTGTAACAATAGCTCAAAGTAGCTAGCTCTTATTAATCAATCTTTTGGGTATATTCACAAGTATTTCGACGAACAATATTTCACCTTTAGTTCTAAGCTTTCATAAAGTCAGTCAGTCATCTACAACGTAGGACCAGTCATATATATATGCATCGGCCGAAGTTACCACACCTCATCAGCACAACAAGATGAACACCAAATTCATAGAATTAATTGCTGTAATGGTAGTAATATATAAAAGGGACTTCATATGAGGATATGATACAGGGAGAAAGAATGAGTGTGAAGAAAGAAAGATATAAGGTAATTTTAATCTCATTGTTTAAGGTAAGACAAAGGGTTTATACACCGACGCCATTGTGATTGATTCTAAGCCATGTCACCCAGAGTCTCCAACCATTGGTTACAAAAGTCGTGTGGACCCCAATCAAGTAGTCTGCATCTATCAACATTGAACAAACCAGAAACTAGTGACTTTATGAACTGATGCCCTGTTTCGGTTTGGTCACCACTAACTTTCTTCCAACACTAGTAGGCATTGCACGTCGCGGTAATCGGTGTTCAGGCATATGCAACACGTGGCCTAACCATCTCAGTCGATAAAGATTCACAACCTCATCAACTGATCTACCATCATACCCTAATACCCTGGATCTAACCTCACTATTACTTGTACGGTGATCCCAACAGATATGAGCAATATTTCTAAGACATCCGTGATCAAATACTAGTAGCTTATGAGTATCTTCCACTCTTAATGGACACGTTTCACACCCGTAAAGTAGAACAGAACGAACTGCTGCACAGTATACTCGTCCCTTAATTGATAGACGGATATCTCACCTTTTCATCGGTCACGTAAGTTGGCAAAAGCCAAACGAGCTTTCTGAATCCGTGCACAGATTTCACCAGACACCAACCCATTAGGGCTGATCAGACTTCCAAGATAAAGTGAAGTTGTCGACGCGTCCGACTATTTCACTCTCTATTATTAGTCCAGGTGTTGACGCAGGCCAGTTTTGAAGCAATAATTCGCATTAAGAGGGGGAGAAACGCATCCCAAATATCCTGGCATTGTTACTCAGTGCTACCAGAAGACCAGGATTATGTCCTCTGAGCATTCTAAAGAGCTGAACGAATTCGTTCAATTAGATCATTAGATAGTGACTGGACATAACTGATTTTTTGGTATTATACCGATAAATATTGTCAAACCAACATCATCAATTGAAGCTCAGTATACTTTGAATTAGTCTTCACTGAAGCAATGAGTAAATTTCCACTCATTTCTAACAACGTCTTAAATCATATCTAACATTAATATAATGGTGTTGATAGTCAAACGAGACCTGAGTCATAAACAGAGTTTAGCGAATGACTTTTGGATTGTCGATCTAATGTTCAAACTGAATAAACCACAAGACATAATCTAAAATAGCGTCTAATTAGCAACGAAAATAAAACGACGAAACTACAGTAGTCAAGTACACTTATGTAATTCTTATTTATGTAACAGGTCGGCAGATTACGAGACTTGAAAAATAGAAGTCATATTTGTAATTTACTATCAAAAGGCTGGTGAGTACAATATAAAGCTGATAATATAGAGACAGGTGAATTGGGAGTTTTATTCATTTTGTATACTACATAAAATGTAAAAGGGTGAACATAAATGATAAGTCTTAACAATAAACATCGAAACAATGAATAATTTTGATAAAATCGAAAACAATTTCCTGATTACAAACGTTGCTCCGAAAGTGCATATTATTGCAAACGTGTGATTCACATTTATATCTTCACTTTTGATGACGCTACCTCATAGCACACAGAATACAGTAGAGTGAACAGCACCCGCACACTCCCAGTGATGTTTTTCTTTGTACATATCACTTGCGCCTTGAACGGAATAGGCTGGAAAACGCTAAGAAAGCGTTTTGTAGTTGTTCATAATTTCTCTTAGAAACAAAACTATAAAGGTTGATGAAGATCTTCCAATATATTCACCATTACACTCAATCAATCAAAATGTAACAGACGTTCTTTATGTCATCAGTAATCTAAATAATCAATCTAAGCTCTGAATAGTTCTACATACACACTTACCTTGACATAGTCTTCTTTAAAAAACAAGAAATACTGTGCTAATAAACTACAAACAATAGTTCATTTTAAATTAAACTTTCAAGGTTAAATTGAAGGTCGTTAAAGAATGTCAAAAAACACTAAGTCAAATTCAAGTACACCGTTGTCTAAACATAATCCATATATGCACAGATGAATGCTATTTTTTGTGTTTTGCCTATTTCCCACTCAACCTAACTACATAGATTCACCCTTAGGAGTAAAAACACGTAGAACACAGTATAAGCCCAACACACAATTTGCATATATACAAACTGCAATCCAAATTATTCTACTGAACGACTGTATTGACTGTGATACTTATTAATCGAATATAGGAACAAACAAGTTACGTCACTTTTTTTTCAGTCACTTTGATAAGTATCTTGGTTTTTCAGCTGCCTTAAAGAATCAGCCCTTACGAACAATTGAAATAAAAATAAACAAAAAACTACTCAACACTGGCATTTGTCTGTAGATACTTGAAACATAGAAAAGTCGATTCTTAGTAAGAGGTTGTCGAGATTGTTGGACTTTACTGAAACCACGGATATATCCAAGTTAGACAATCATTGAAAACCTGGAACCACTGAATTCTTATTTCGTCCTAGTAAGGTGTTTATTTGAAAGAAATTCCACTTTCATCTAACAATATATTAGTGGTGTGGTGCGCGCTACTTATATTGATATAATAAGTAGTATATGACACGAGTTAAAAACGTAATGTCTGGCAGCAGAAGATGGGGGAAGATCAAGAAGGGAAGAGCGGAAACACAATGGAATTTGTATGAAAACTCATGAACAATGAAATGTCAGTCAATGGATTGATGTTTGCAACAGGAACAGTCCGGTTTGATATGATGGATTGATATTTTGCAAATTAACGATTTAATATATGGTTTTCCTATTTTACCAATTAACTCTGTAATTTGAGCTAACTACAGTTCGGTTGTCCTCAACAGTGTTCTTGTTCACTACAAAGAGCTTTAAAGGATGTGAACAACTAACAAACATTTAGAAATTCAAAAGGAGAAAAACAACTGTACTTTTAGAATGAATACATATAATAAACTTTTATTTATCCCTTTTTTCTTAATGAATTCACATACTTGTTGATTAAAAGAATGTAATGTATCTTCGTTTAAATCATTGCTGGCAAGTATCTGAAGTTGTGCAAACCAAGGTAAATTATAACTACAAGAAATGAAATTAAAAAATAAAAAGTAATAAAATTACCTTCTGAAATTATTCAATTGATTACAGCAACATTTGTATCCGTTACTAATGTCCATCTATACCGACCAATAAAGTTATGAGCATGAACTCGGTTACTTTGGGCGACCAAGTAGTAACACGAACTCGTACACAAAATCTGTTCTTGAAAGTTGAGTAAACCAACTTATACTATATTTCCAACTTGAACTAATTTAATTAAGCAGTAGTGTACGTTTTAAATTATGATAATAGATAACGATATGAAGTATACTTCATAGATCAGTCAATCAGGATCAAGAATGAGACTTTTAGGTTTTTGTGAGAAATTAAAACATCATGTATGAAGAGCAGTAAAGTACTTTTGATCGAAACGTTTAAAATGATTGTTAAAAAATCACTTTTTGAAACCATAGTGTAAAAACAATAGTGTTGAACGTATTTAATGCCTAACTCTGTCTCTTTAGACTGTATATAACAGGCAAATCGACACTGTCCCTAAATCCTAATTGTTATATTCCGATGAGAATAATGAATGGTAACTGTTGGGATCTATTTTTAGAATATTATTACGCGTATATTTTTATCGTATAATATTCGTGTCTTTATTATGAGCTTTATTTTGACCTATGAACTATTATTACACGATTCACCATTCTTAAGTTATTTCCAGTTTATGAATTACAGTCTTCCACATTCACAGCCACTTTTGGCTAAATTTTTTATAAATGTTGTTTCCTATTTTATGGTACGATGTGGTCTGTTTGGTTGGTATAAAAATCCAGTATGTTTGAAATAAATGATTCATATCACAGAGGCTGAGATGGGTGTTCTAGACTTAACAGGCAGGGCTAGGCGGGAAGCAGGACCGATAAGGACTTCAGAATACTCGTACGGGATTTATGCGTCATTCGTCTGGTCATTGTTCTCTAATTAGAGGTATCAATACGTTATACATTAGTAGGGCACAGAGCATAAGTTATGACACTAATCCTGAACCCTTAATCTTGAAACAAACAACCTGGTGGCATCATATTTTATAGTCACACTAATCAGATACCGCCTCTTGTATTTTTGAGCGAGATTCATACATCCATACGGCTACAGAACATTTCTACATAGTAGCCTATTTCAGTTCATGTCTAAAACTACAATCCTAAACCCCTAAGCTTAACCCTGACTATGAGCAATGTGGGGACTCTTAGAAATCTATTTGGGTTCCAGGAGACGGACAGTTTGTACTCATAAAGGTTAGTTTACATGTCGTTTTTTCGACTTACAGAGTAAACGGTAAGACATTATTAGACTGAATAATATGTAAAATCAGTTCACGCTATGCAATATTATTATCCTTTCCATAGACTATCCATTTATAAAAGCTGTTTTCTGATTGTCTAAGAACTGGTTGAAAATTCGTCGCGATTGTGATAATCACACAGACCCCAAGTAAGTAGTCTTCACACATTAATATAGCTCAATAGCTTTATGGACTGATGCTATGCTTTGGTTTAGCGGCTCTTAAATATTTTTAACTTATTTCTACATCAGCAAATATCAAGCATCAAGTTGGGCAGTGATTAAGTGTACTGTGAGACGCTAGAAGTACTCTTATGTTGATAATAATAATAATAAACTTTGGTGAACATAAAGAAAATATATGGATGAACTACTAAATCATAGTTCAAAAAAAAAAAAAAAAACTAACAAAATATAAATGATATTGTTTTATAAAATACAGAAAAGTATCAATTAATTTAATTGAATCGACTTACTGTGAACTGATTACCTGAAACGTATTACGAATTTTCAATGACAAGTAGGCTATATCACCGCTATCAATACGTATACCAATAGCTTGATAACCAAATTCATGAAGAGCTAATGCAACTGCACAAAAATTTGGTAAACCTGATCTACAAGATGTGCAAAAAAAGCAATAAACAAATTTACCATAAGTAATCTAAACGTGTTACTTCCATTTCTTCTAAGACTAGATAGTCTTTCAAAAGCAAACAAAAAAGATGTCCCCTTTGAAGCCCATATAGTAATACGTAAATAATTGACTATATCATAGGACTGCTAAATACCAAGAGGGAATCCTACAAACATTTAGAAATTAGCTCGATAGATATATCACACTTGACTTATTTGATTTTAATGATTCAATTACTGATGTCAATGCAACCGTAAAGAGAATGATATCATTTGATATAGGTTTTACGTTTTATAAATGTTCCCACCATATGACATGATCTTGTAAACAACAAGCTCAATATTGGCGACCCAAAACACAATCTAAATAAACTTCTCCTACGATGTACCTTTAATCTCCAGTTTAGATTTATTAATAAGCTCTATGGATGAAATAATAAAATTCACCACTAAGCGCTATTCAAGAGGACTTTTTGTTGGTTAATTTGAAGAATACGATGCTTCGACTACAATCAAGAGCTTTCAATTATGCAGATGTATGGATGACACGTTCATCATCTGTGACTTCAATCTTCTTGTGGATAAATTCAAAAGCTGTCTTCTTCAGGAATTTTACACAATTGGTTTCTGCTATGAAGCTGAATAAATCCAGAACAAATATTGATGTAGACCAATATGGATTCCCTATATTTCATGGTTTCTCATCAGCTGCTTACAACCATATATGCACTGAAAGTTAACATTGAGGTAGGATATATATATATATATATATATATATATATATATATATATATTCAAAAGCTGTCATAAGTCAGTTAAATTCACAATAAAAGCAGAAATGAATGAGGAATTTCATTTTCTTGATGTCCTACTAAAAAGAAGGCTAGATGATTCGTTATAAAGATCTATACATAAAGATTTATTTATTTTATTTTATTTGAACATACAAATATTGGTACAAAGGGGCGCCAAATATATATACGCCACACAAATTTTCATTTTATTTGTGTGTGGGCTGTGATACTGCCCAGGTGCCCAAACCGAAGCAGGTAGTTTCCTTAGGGGGCCATACCCGGAGCCTTCGACCTAAAAGTCTGAACCACAAGGCAGTGGAGCATCGTGAGGAGATGCAGTCTCATGGTAGCCGGTGACCGACGATCGGTTCACACGCCATTTGTTTCCTCAGGATACTGGAGCCTATGTGCACCATCGGTTTGGGATCCGGCTAAAGCGCCGGACATTGGCTTTTCATCCTCTCATTTTCATAAACAACACCCCCGCCACGAGAAGGTAGTGAGTAGGACTTCCCTGGCAGAGGCTGTATACGCGTGGCCGTGTGAGAGTATTTTGAGAGGGAGGGTGGGCCCACCCCATTCTCGGCCATACCAGGGCATTTGGGGGCCATACATAAAGAGCCAACTTGAAATTGCCAATATACGAATTTTTAAAGCTGAGTTCCAGTAAACAGAAAAAGAACTAGGTTGTTCTTTACTTTTGAAAACTAGGAAAACATAATTCTAAGACACAATGAACGATGAACTACTATAACTCCGACAAGTACCCATCAAAAAACAGCTATCCGCCCAAGTTTACTGAAGGAAATCTGAAATTAAAACTACAACCTGAAAAACAACACCTACAGTTCTAAAGAAAGCTCTCTTTTAGAAAATTGAGTTCAAGGAAGATAGTACAGCAGAAAATTTGCAGAATAGATTTATAAATATTCGAGAACATCTGTGATTAGACATCAAAAAATGACGACCAAAATTCAAGCAAATCGGTAGTAAAACATTTCTCTTATTACATTATTCGAAACAGTGAACATATCACTACTATTGCAGAACAAAGTGGTGGGCATAAAGTGTTATAACTTGTGGCCTTGTGGCCCTATCAATATATGATGTAATGATACCGCCAATTAGAGAACAGTGAATTATCGACCAGACCAATGACGCATAAACCAGTACGAGCAGTCTAGGGTCTTTATCGGTTTTTGTGCGTGTTGATGGTTAAAAGATCTTTGCTTTCATTAGATACAGGGATTTGTAAATAAGCATCTGACAAATCCGACTTCGCAAAATACCTGCCACCGTTCAGCTTGACGAAGAGATCATCAGGCGAAGGTGAAGCATACTGGCGAAACTTTACAGCTACATTTAGTCCGGTGGAGTAATCTGCACATAAGCGAACGCTGCCATTAGACTTCTTGACCACCACTATTGGTGAAGCCCAATCGAAGTTCACAGGTTCAATAAGACTCATTTTCTGAAGCCGTTTAATTCCTGTTCAACTAATGAAAGGGTAGCATAAGGTACAAGTATCTTAGGTCGAAACACGGGAGTAGCTCCAGGTCTGAGGGTTAGTAATGCTTTGGCTTTCGTACCTTCTCCCAATCCTTCTGTAAACATATGGTGGTGTCTTTGTAGCACGGCATTTTTCTGGTTATGCTACAGTCCAATAGTAGCATACCACGTTGATATTCTAGAAAGCTCCATCACGTTCTGACTGGATGGAAACTCTTCGGCTCCTTTAGAGCCTCTGGAGGCTCCGTCGTAGTTCTCGGAAGCCGTCCTAACAGAAAGAATGTTTATTGAGAGAAATTATGTTTATAATAATATATGTACATACTTTTCGATCATCTTGCAGTATGTTCTGTGATCCAAACTATCTTCTCTTCTGGTCTTCAATTATTAAGCCTATGCCATACTTTTGACATGCTGAAACTCTTCTCTCCATCTGACTACTGTGATAGCTCCGACGCCACGTACCGCTACATACTATTAACCAGAAGTCTTGTTAGTAGTATTCACCATACCTAGTATTATTTCAGTCTTATATATTGTTTATATGGTGTTGTACGTCTCTATGGTTTATTATTTTGGTCATATGCTTACAATCGACTTACTCGTATACTGTTGATATTAAAGACTGAAATTGAACAGTGTCTGTTGGGATGTGTACATTCTCTGCGGATCGCCTCAATATTTCCATTTATTCACAAGTTTTTACTAAAGTTGGACAGTAGATAGCATTAGAATATAGAAAGAGCGTTTTACCTGGATCTCAGTGTTGACGTTTGGACTGATATTAAAATACAGTACCTCTCACTTCATACGCCAATGTGTTATTCATTGAGCTACCGAATCCAGAGTCACGAGATTATACCAAGACCGTAAATGTTACCTGTAAGGGCTCACAGTTTTCGTTGATTGAATCGAAAGGTACTAGGTTTGAGTCTCAGTACAAACATCAACACCGAGATGCAGGTACATATATCTGATGAGTCCCAAGTGGGATAAAACGTGCGTCCTAGATTCCGCTACTAGACACTATTCAACTTACAATCGGTTTACCATTTCAAAGAGTGGAGATAATTACACTCCATTTTTCATATTGTACCGATTTTTTCGTTCTCCCAACCAACTGGCTTATAAATATGATAAATTATAAAAATAGATTTCAGCGGTTGGTAGCGTTATCATGTATACTTATTTTGTTGTTCATTTTTTGGGTGGAATTAAAAGGTTAGTAACAACCCAATACCGACTAGAACGAAATCTGAATAATTTAATTAGATTTTAAACAATCTAAAACAGGGGAATCTAGGATGTGGGTTTTTTTATTTTAGACATATCAGATATATGTACCTTCAATTATATCGACGTCCATACTGAAACTTGAACTCAGAACTCGTCAATTCAAACATCACAAAGTTATCACTTATTCAACAGTTATAATATACACATTCCCACATTTTGTGCCTTAAAAATTATACAGCGACTTCGTAACTGCTTACTAGTTCCGAAAGCTCCTACCCTTGGACGGTGGACAGGACAAAAAACAAGAACAGGATACAGGAAACTTTACTTCCTAATTTATCTCCCGTTCAGAAAATAAAGAGCCATATGTGACCTCGAAACTCCGAAAGCCTAAAAACGCTTGTTTGAACTAGTGAAAAATTCGGTACGCGCGTAATCAGAATGATAAACTGTCTTTTCCTTGAATTCTTCTGAAAGTTTCTAAAGAACCTTGATTGAAGAAAGTGTTTCTAGCATTCCTTTGGTTCTTTAAAGAATTACTGAGCCCCCCCCCGAACATACACGTCCCTCACAAGACAACGGAATCGCTTCATTCCATTGTATGTATACCAAGAGACACAACAGCAAAGGAGGCTAAATGAGATCGTTTACAAAATAAATTGCACCAAATGAGAAATATTACATTAAACAAACAAGGTCCCCTCCGGACATAAGCATAAACAAACATAAATTAGCAGTGAGGTGATATGACGTACTAACACGGATATTAATGCAGGAGGATGACAATAGACACGCATTTGACTGGGGAAGTCAAAAATCTGGATCAGGAAAACTAGGAATCTCAGAGGACATCTAGAATCCAATGTATGGACTCATACGGAAGAGGTCAGTCCGTAAAAAACGAAGAACAATAAATAAAGACAGCATGGATATAATGGTAGATGAAAATAAAAGCTACGAAGACAGACAATCAAAAACAGGGCCGGCAGGACGAAGTGATATGAGGCATGTAAAATTTCTGAAAGAAATCTTTTGTATGTAAATTAGGCGCTAAAAATAATGACAATCAAAGCTCCGCAAATGAACCATCTACCTCGGAAAATACAACAACAAACATATATATACGTGATTTGTTGTATGGGTTCCACTGTTAGCATCTATTCCAAATATCACTACAGATTGTAAATCCTAGTAATACTGAAATAACCTTTCAAGGATGGAGATAAATCCAGAAAGAAAAGAAAAAAATTGAAATTTAACACAGAAAAGAAACATACTTTAACACATCATATGTATCAAGTAAACCAAGAAATTTTGTCGGAAATGCAACAGCATAATTGGCGAATGCATTTAATTCACCTGGATGTATTTGATCGGAATGATATTTTAATACACGAGATAAACTAGTAGACCAATACCAACAACGTTTCAAAAATTCATTCAATTTCATTGGTTGACGGTTTAAGTCTAAAAGGTGATCATCATATGAGTTATTTAACTCGGCGGCTTCTCTTCTGAATTTTCCGAAATCACTTATACATTCCCCTTCCTTAGAGAGAAAAGAAACATTTCGAAACATCTTAACTTTAAGAATATGCAACCATACAGAACAATTATTATTCATAATCTAATTATATATAGATAATTCTGTTGAACTGGAAATAACTATCGTAACTCAAAAGGCAAGACTAATGTATTAACCACTAAGTGTTTGAAACGACAAAAATTATTAGAGTCGTGGTAAAGGGATTAACATTGACTATTCCAGCTGATACTAACCATCGGTTGTGACATAAATAAAATCGTGTACTCGATATTCTATCACTGAAATTCAACTATAAAGTTATTGATGATAATATGATAACGTCGCTCAGAAGAGCAATGAAAGCTCCACGATCAAACCATCTAGCTCATAGAAAAAGACTCCATCAGAAAGATGATAATATCAATCAGCTCGTCATCGGTAACCAAAGTTTACATTCAAAGTGCTTTTTTACAGATGAAAGAAATTGTGATGTACATTTTCTCTTGAAATGCTCTAACTGTTACCACAATAGTTTTACTTACTGTCTTCAATTAACGACAGTTTATCTAGTAAAATTAAAAAGACACAAAAATAGGGCAGAAGCCTACATCGAGTAAGTTAATATGATTGCCTTACAGAGATTAATGAGAGAGACTAGATTTGATACCGGTAGCGCATATATGCTCCTAGCTCGAAAAGGAATGAATGATGTATGAATGTGCTACAAGCGCTGGTCATTATTAGAAATAAAACATCACAAATTAACTCTCCTATCTTATAGATCAGATATCTGGAATGAGCAGTCGAAAAAGATTGAGACAACTGTCTCATCCCATTTCGCTCCTGAGTAGTATGACAATTAATATGATAAAAATCATTTACAATGTTTCGTTAAATAAAACTTATTGTCACTTATAACCGTTTTGACATAGACTTGCTACTTACATAAGAAGATTGAAAAGCTGACACAAATGAATGTGCATGTGTCCCAACAACTGGAATTCCATATATTTTCCCAGCTAAAACATTGCTAGTTCCATCATAACCTGCAGTAAAAAATATATAGATATAAAGTGAAACGATTTGCTTGATAAAATATAACTTAGATTATGAAATGAAAATAAATATTTTTTGTAACCATCAAAAAATATCGCTAGTTTTTTTTTACATACATATGTAGTGCCTTCGACTAAAAAGATTCCATTAGTTGAACAAAAATATCAAGACTACTCATAACAAACGAAATCGTTCTTAATCTATTATTTCCATTCCAACTTATTCATCACAACCATTACATGAGGTTAGTAAAACTTAAGGATATAACAGATGCAAGTGAATAGCCAAACATTCATATTATCAACACATGTGTCTAAAATAAGTGATCAATTTATAGTAACCAATGTCATCTTGTTTATTTCTCGATGTGGATGAAATTTTATCGTTAACGTGTCAGAATGACCTAACTACTGCAATGAAGTGAGCAGGGTTACACTTCGAAAACTTACTTCCGTTCGAGAAACCTGCCTTCACACAACAAATATGACTTAAATCCTGGCACATGAATCTGTGTACTTGGCTATTGAGTTGAATCATATTTAATTACGTAAATATTGTCTTAAATAATTTACGGGTCAATGAGTAATTATATTCTGTTGAAACGCTATGAATACCAATAACATCGAACCCCTCTTCAAAACTCGAATATGTAGAACGAATAATAATAATAATAATAATAATAATATCAATGACGTATTAACAATAATAATAAATAACCATACCTCCTAAATATGCATATTTTGAAGCTGAGAGTGCACCATCTGGTCCTTGAGCACGACGTAAACCAAATTCATATAATTTTTTACTTGGACCACAAGCCAGACGGTAACGTGTAGCATTGGTAGTCACTAGGCTACGGATAAAAATATATGCATGTACATTGATAAAATACTTAAAAACTACTACTAGCAATCAAAATAGTATTGAAATCGGAGCTTGGAACTTAAAAGCCGCAAAATTGCAGCTTACTGAAGTATGGATAAAGGTTTGCCTCCAACATATTTCATTTCCGTTGATGAATAGCGTAATTAACCAAAACATGGATTAATCCCGTCTGGAGTCATTTATGTAAAATAAAGACCCTAATTTTCAGCACTTTTAAAATTAAATAATCAAGAAATACATTTTTATTAATTTAAAGGGTTTATAAAAATTGCCGAGCTATATGGTTTATAGTGCTGACTGACCATAGGAAGACAACTAATAAAACCACAAAGCATTGAACGTGTTTCGTCCTGGTACGGGACTCCTCAATACTACGTACCCACGACCCCACCACAGGGGACTCAACGCGAGACTTTCAGATCCCAAGGTGATTGTTTGACATTCGGACCCCTGAGTTTCCGATGGCTAACATCTCTAGCTTTTACCAATTAGCCATACTGAGCACTCATCCCCCAATATGCTCGTAGGTAATTACATCATATACGACACGGTTCAACTCTACCGCTAACTGGTGGGTATTCTGGTCTCTGGACGAAAGAGCTGTCCAACGTCTCCTGGTTTTGAATGTTTGTTTGACTAAGGTCAGTTCTTAATGCAAACTATGAAATCTATTTATATCCACGACAATTATGTTGCGCTAAATATTTGAACTTGGCTGTGATTAGTTTAAAGAAACTGTGTGTATAGTTACGGACAAGTATTACCGAAGTTCTCAGTCCTACATAAATTTCTAAGGTTCTCCAGTTGATATTAGTTCTAATTAAAAAAATGGTTTTCGATTCAGATCATGAATCGATGAATCTTAGACCACCATTGAAAACCTGGAAGCGTTAGAGGGCCGTTTCATCCTAGTATGGGACTTCTCATCAGTGTGTATCCACGATCCCGCACTCTGGATTCGAACTCAGGACCTTCGGTCTCGCGCACTAATCCGTGTCAGGTAGAGACATGTATCTACCTTAGACAATGAAAGATGGCCGAAAGGGCCGTCCAGTGCTCCCAGGTTTTCGATGGTGGTCTTACATTCATCAATTTATGATCTCAATCAAAAGCTAAACAATCTTCACAACCACATACTGAAAAAAATACTTGTCGAATCAAACTAATATCTACACACACATAAACCTGTCTAAACAACCGCTGTGTGTAATCTCAATAAAAAACCTGTGACGAGTTATATAGTCCTCTGAATATCTTCTAAAACATCATATACTACAAACCAGTCGTAAATATTCCTTAAAATCGACAAAACACTAAATTCTCGTGTATATTAAGCTGAGCAGTGGCTTATTGGTCAATGTATTCAGTATTAAATAGCTGATATGTAGGATGAAACAATTCTGCCTCGCTTTGGTGTATGAGTAAGTTGTAAGAAAATTAGCAGCCAAACCAGAACGTAGAATCGGTTCATGGAGCCACTAGTTAATGAACAGGACCAAGTTGGTGGATGCAGACTACCTCCTTGAGGTTCGTGTAACTATCGTAACCAACGGTTGCACACATTGAGTAACACCGCTTAGAATCGGTCATATTAGCGCAAAAACATTTACTATTTACTTTCCTTTACATCTCCCGTTCCAGTATTATCCTTTTATTTTGTCGTTTCAAACTATATTTTCAATGTCCCATCTTTATAATTATTACTACTACTATATCACTTTGATTTCATTCATACCATTCATCTCGCCGGGCTAGTGTGGTACGGCGACTTGGGTAAACCCAGATATATACCAGGCTGTACAGTCATTATGACTGTCTGACTTTTATGCACCATGGTAGTGCCAAAGCATATATATATATATATATATATATATATATATATATATATATATATATATTCAAGTGGAGCACGTGAATGTACAATTGAAATATGGGATACATAAATTAATCATTCCAATGAAATGATAGTGAAAAAGAGATACGCATAAATCAATTACCTCGCATAATTAACCAAATTCAATAACGTAGATTCCACAAGTTGACATAGTACTATTGGTCCTTCAACTCGCATAATAGGAACTTTTGGAAAAACAACTGAACATTCTTTAACAGACCATAACGATAATCCCTTTGTATCAATACTAAGCAAATAATCAAAGAAATCGGGATCAACAGTTGATGGCATAATTTTTTGCAAATATTCAATATCTAATGATGTTATTTAGAAATATAAAAGAAAAATTGATACGATTTAGAGTTTATTGTAAAATACTAGTAATACATTTCAGGAAAAAAATGATGAATCAACATGTAACATATTACTGTAGTTAGTATCAAGAAACTTTGGAGATTGTTGGATTTCAAAGTTTACTGATCGAACTGACCTAAGATAGACAATCGATGAGAATCGTGAGGCAACGGACAGCTGTTTTGTTCTAGTATGGAACCTTTCAGCAATGCTTATATATATATATATATATATATATATATATATATATATATATATATATATATATATATTCGTTTATTGAATTTAGTTGGGGTCGATGTATGTTTTTGAGCTATTACAGTACTTTTGTCAATTATCTATTAATACCGAACATGTAACATAAAAAAGCACATATGTATTAACCCACACATCACGTTTATTCCGACAGATTATATAACACAAAATGTAGAATTTTAATTTACCTAGGTAAATGCTGTTTCACTTACCATCTTGAGTGAATCTAAACGAACTTAAATAGTCAATACAATCTTGAAGACCAGCAAATATAGTGAACTCTCCATTGAAAGGATTTTTACGAAAAAACATTTCAAAAGTTGCAGTATCATTGGCTTTTCCAGCTTGCCAATAAGCATACGACATTGTCAATTCATAGAAATCTGAAAGGAGAAAATACACGTTTTAGAACAGATAAACTAAATCTTGGGAGTATGGTGTAGAAAGGTAGAATGGAAAAAACTGAGGAACTTTTAAATATGAAATAATAAAATAGTCACACGTTCTTTTAGACTAAAGCGAAAACCCTGGAACTAATTTATTCTCTGACCTAGATTAGTTGGCGAACGTTTTAAAGTCAAACTAATCACTAGTCATGAGTACTGACGAAAAGTTAACTGGTCACTTTTCGCACTAATCAAAACTGTTGGATTTCTATCAGTAAAAACAAATTTTGTGCACTTAGGTTTAAACGTGTTGACCCTCCATAAACACAGAATATGACAAAATGCCTAAATAACTCCTACTTCTACGTTAGAATCTATTAAAAGTTGAGCGAAGATATAAAAAATTTGTTAATGACAGCAATTTGATGTTTTTGTGTATTTTTTCCACATTAACTTATACTGTCAAAATAAAAAACATTGCAATTAATCACCAACTGATAGCAAACTGCAGGTTCATATTTATATAGTTAGACAACGGAGCATCTTACCCGTGAAAATTGGTTGTACTACACCAAAGTGAGGTCCCATTCCTTGTGAGATTTATTAAGAATAAGTATTTCTTTAATTCCAACGAAGGGTTATTCCATATGAAGCGCACAAAATAGGTAAGCATAAAATAACATATTAGTTAGAATATGAAACTTAAATATAAAAGTAAAACAAGAATGTTAAATAGAAGTATGTACACATATGTACAAGGACGTACATAACTCATTACAATAAAAAACATACGAAATATTTACTAATATAAATTTATAGATACAACGAATGTCTCGGAATTAGGATGAAATTAATTGGTTTTAGTTAATAAGTTTAGCATTCGAATTCACCATTATCGGCATGATATTAAAGTGTTAGCAGCATCTACTAGATTCATAGAAATAGGTAGAGATAAAAGAAAATATTCTACGATGCATTCAAAACTCAAATAACTATGATTCATGTCAATATGTAATTACCAAAAATTGGTCTTGATAATAGAAACTCGTTTGCATTATATCGTTGATGTGTCATATACTAAACGATGACATGCAACTCACTAGTCAAGAGGAAAACAACCTAAGTATTATGAACAACAATCGGATAAATAGGGTAACATGTCGAAAGGTCACAGCAGACAAAAGAACGAAAAAAAAGTCAATTTCAGCGATAGATACAGAGACATGTTACCTAGTATTACTAATCATTAGTTTTGAACACCTGAAGGACTCCAGTCACAAGGCGTACAACTTTTGGCATGTTTCAAATCAATAATCAATAACTTTGATTAATGATGTTGAACCATTCCAGTTGAGTTTTACTTTTCTTAACCGGAGTCGGAACAGTCATAATATTAATATTACTAAGTTACCATGAAAACTCACAGTGATTTGAAGACTAGTGTTATTGATGACCTAAGATCTACCTGCTTACACAGTGGTCACTAGAAATTTTAAAATGTTTTTGGTAACCCATAATATTCATTTGCTTAAAGGCCAGGACGTTTATAATGATATGAATTTGATATTTACTCACAACTAGTGTAGTGTATACTACCAAGTATTTCTCACATTGAGTATGTTTTCAACATCTATTTCGGTCAAGGATAGTTAACGCTTAAATACGTGAGTACATAGCCATTTATTAAAGCCTTCCATTGAATAGGTAGTAGTCAAATTGGATGAGACAGTATTTCATATAAGAGACATGTCTCATTTGTTTGTATACAAACAACTGATTAGCTGTACAGCTAATATTACGTAATATTAATAGCCTAGTATTTTTTTTCTCGACTTTGATAGTGAGAAATGGTAAGATAGCACATTGATCACTAACTTGGAATTATCAGATAAAAACTGAGCGATAACGCAACAAACAAAGGGATGGCCACCAAATGCACGGGAAAAAATGCAAACCTCCAGCGGTATAGTTCACTGTTGGAGGTCGCGAACACTTGAAGGTCAAATTGTCGCAAGATGATTGGTGCGTCACATCGACAATTCGGTCAAATCAAGACATTTTTAGATTTGAATTGAGTTCAGGCGCACCATGTCTGATAACGTCCATCCTTCAAGCAACGAAGATGATGCCATCGTGATAATGCATGATATAGGACGAATCCTCAGTGATATTATATTATCTCAGAGATTTACAAGTTCGGACAATTTTGAGACCTGTTTGAAAGAAGTACATAAGGTAATATGACTTCTGTGGTTGATAATTATTTTTGTAGTATACGCATACTAAGTATGTTATGTCAGTATGTACAAAGAACAATGATGACCCAACTCTAAAGTATTTTTTCGTGAGATGTCTGTACATATGGACGTAAACGCAGTTCGTCGCAGTCAGATGCTTGCGTTCAGGATGTAGATGATGATAGTGATCATCATTCTTCCGAAGAGCATACAACTTCTAACTCACGCCCACAACCTAGACAAAGAAGACGACGTCGGTCATCTACGTATGCTTTACCCAGGTTATTGAACTCACATTGTAATTAATTGAGTTTAAACACTAAAAATATCAATAACATTTTACAGCGCGTCCAAGCAAACACTGAAGTTAAGGTATTCAGTGAACATGGGAACATATCTATGATTTGCTTCAGTCGCAGGGAGCAAATAGCTGTTTGCCACGCGTTGTATGTATTGACTTGACTTATCAGACCAACAAAGTTGGGTAAGTAACGAATAGTAATAAATTTATCTTAAAGTTTTCCACTGTAGCGGTAAATAAATCCCCAAAATAAATAGCTCTATAAGTTTTCGACATTGGATGCTGACCACAGTTTTAATGGACTCATCTAGCTGAAGGCGCTCGGTCAAGCATCCGCACCAGATCACGTGTGAGAACGTCGTGCTCAACATCTACCGCAATCGCTGGCCATATTAGTTCAAACGATCCTCGATATATTGATAGCTTATCAAATATATCTTCGATCTCCTCGCTTCTGTCTTTAGATTTCACTTGGTGGGTACGCGTCATATTAGAAAGTGTTACTGGTTAAAGCGTTGTCAAACTCCGGATACCTGTGGCATTTTCATTGGTGAGCCTAACATGATCTGGTACACCAAATTGCAAACTGTGAGTCTGTTCCCTTTTTGGGATTTTATATATACTTGTTTTATTTTAATTTTTTATACATTGTGATATTTTTCCCCGTCTTTTTGTATATATATACATATATATATATTTCCCACTCGTTCATTTTCGTACTTGATATATTACTATGACCGAACAGACACCTAAAGTATTTAAGTTAAAGACTGTGTCCCCACCATCCTTCCGACTTATGCCCTTCTGGCCAGACAACATCGAAGCATGGATTTGCTACGCAGAAGCCAACTTCTACGAGCACGGTGTGAACGACACTCGTGCACAATTCCTCGCAGTAGCCAATGCACTACCGCGCGAACTCAACAGGTATGTAAAACCTGGTATGTTTACCAGTGATGTTTCAGAACCATGCGAAACTCTTAAACCATCCATCCTTAAACGCGGAGATCTAACCGATCGACAAAGGTTAGACCAACTCCTTAACAACATTGACCTGCAACACTGTTCTGCCACAGATATGTTACAAAGAATGCGAGAAGTCATTGGCCGAAAAACCTTCAATGATGACCTGTTCAAACAACTTTTGTTATCCAAACTTCCTCAACAGGTGCAAGCTGTGCTGGTCTCGTTTCAAAACAACGCCGTAGACGAGCTGGCTGAATCTGCCGACCGCATCCTCGAAATCACTAAATCTTCTAACGCCGAGATTTTTGCAGTCAAAGAAACGCCTCAAACGACCCAGAATGACATAACACAGTTATGTCATACACTTACGCGATTTCTCAAACTTCGTAACGACCGTAAACGGTCATACAGCCCGCTAAGAAGCACTTCAATTAGGCGATCTGCCTCTAGACCTCGATAGACGGATAATCCTGACTGGTGCTGGTATCATAACCAGTATGAAAAGTCCTCCAGAAATTGCAGAAAACCCTGCAATTTTTCCAACTCAAAATTGGTCGACACTTCCAAGCCGCCACGGGTTAACGGCAACCGTAGCTAGCGAAGATAGCCGTCTATTACATGTCATTGATGTGATAACGAGAGTTCGCTACCTCGTAGATACTGGCGCAGTAGTTAGCGTTCTTCCATCGAATTCCAACGACCGGCTTCACCAATCGGTTTTAAATTTACGGGCGGCAAACGGAAAGCCTATCGCTACGTATGACAACAGTTACGTTTATCTTAACGTGGGTTTACGCAAACCCATTCACTGGGTCTTTGTTGTTGCTGATGTTTCTATGCCAATCATTGGTATGGACCTTCTACAACACCACAACCTAATTATCGGAGGCTTGTAGATGGAAATACTAATTTATCTGTTTGCCTGACTTCTTTTTCTGGTTGCAGGTTATCTCCAGTCAATATTAAGCACACTATAGACTCATCCTATGAACCACTACTCGATAGGTATTCTGGTATTTACCAATCGCAACCGAGATCGCCGTGTGTAACCAGCAACGTTACACACCAAATCACGACTGCAAGACCACCTGTATTCTCTAAAGCACAACGACTGGCCCCAGAAAAGTTAAGGTTAGCGAACAACGAATTTGACCATATGATAGACGTAGGAATCCTACGACCGTCAAACACCCCATGGGCATCTCCGTTGCACGTGGTCCCTAAAAAGGACAGCAACGACTGGCGTCCAACAGGCAATTATCGACGATTAAATGCCAAAACCATTTCCGATCGTTACCCGTTGCCACACATTCACGATTTGACAGCTACTTTGAGAGGTACAACTGTCGTTTCGAAAATCGACTTGGTTAAAGCTTATAACCAAATTCCTATAGCCACTGACGATAGTCCGAAAACCGCTATTATAACTCATTTTGGACTCTGAATTTTTGCGAATTCCTTCCGGCCTAAAAAATGCTGCACAAACCTTCCAAATGTTCATAGACGACGTTTTTCGAGGTCTCAACTTCGTACATGAGTATGTTGATAACTGCCTAATAGCAAGTCCGGATAGAGAATCGCATCTCCAGCCTCTGGATCTTGTTTTCGATCGACTACAAAACACATGGCATTACTGTAAACATTCAGAAATGCCAAATCGAAACCGAATCCTTAGACTTCTTAGGACACACTATCGATGCGCAAGGCATATGACCCCTTAGAACAAAAGTGGCGGCCATTCTGGATTACCCAGAACCGACCACCATCAAGCAATTGCGCACGTTTAACGGTCCGGTAAGTTTTTATAGACGGTTCATTCCCGAATGCGCCTTAATTATGAGACCTCTTACCGATCAACTTCGTGGAAATGCCAAATCCATCAATCTGGATGACATCGCGCGAAAAGCATTCTCCACGGTTAAGGAACTGATCGCTCAAGCAACCATGCTTGCTCTACAGGACACTGAAGCGTCCATTAGTATCGCAGTAGACGCATCCGACTCAGCGATCGGAGGAGTCCTACAACAATGGGTTAATCACTCCTGGCAACCTTCGGCATTTTTCTCTAGACGGTTGCTAGACACTGAATCGAGGTACAGCACATTTGGTAGGGAACTCCTAGCTATGTATTGTGCTGTCCGGCATTTTCAACACTATATCAAAGGCCGTGAATTCACCATTTTTACCGACCATAAACCACTTACTTTCTCCTTAAGCTCTTCTTCAGACAAGCACTCACCACGTGAGTTTCGAAACTGGACTACATTTCGCAGTTAACTTCAGATATTCGACACATTTCTGCAGCAAACAATGTAGCCGCAGACGCCTTGTCTCGCATAAATTCCTTGAACGGTTTCCAAGGAATCGAACTTTTAAAACTCGTCCAGCTTCAAAAAAAAAGACAGTGCTCTTCAGCACGAGTTAGCGTCAACAACACTTAAACTGCGAATTAAACAGATGGGAACAGGTAAGGAAACCTCACTGTGTGACACATCTACAGGTAATGATCGCCCAATCGTGCCGAAACAATATCGACACAACGTCTTCAATACGTTGCACAGACTTTCTCATCCAAGTGTTCGTGCAACCATCAAGCTTATAGCAGAACGGTTTTGCTGGCCTGGTATGAATAAAGACGTGAGGGAGTGAGCACGCCCTGTGTAAGCTGCCAGAAATCTAAGGTGATTAGACATAACAAGTGTCCCATAGGCTCGTTTAAAACTCCCGATGCTCGCTTCGACCACGTTCATTTGTATTTGGTAGGACCTTTACCAAACTGGTGATCATTACACAAGAACGCGAAGCAACATCCTTGTCTCAGCCATATAAGACTGCACAGTACACTCTCCCTACCGTAACGCTATAAGAATGAGTTAATGACCATATAAATGAATTTATGTAAAACTAAAAAGATTACAATATTAGAACTTCTTGTCATCGAGAAGCATAGCTATGGTCAGTGTTAACAATGGATTCTGATGATGTAGCTTCGTAATTGGAACCGATTGAACTCATCACTTGCGCGCATATGTCTTCCGATGCTTCGAGGCATGAACGGATGCGTTTACTTGCCAAGGGTTCACTAAGAGCATGGGTTGAGTAGTAGTTGTCAGTGAACTTCTCTAGCAGATCACCACTCCCGGTAGAGATTGACGTGTTGTCCAGCGCACGAAGAACCAAGCCCATTATGTAATTCCTTGTCCACAGGCTGATATGTCGAGATAAGTCTGCAATGCTTATAGAGACAAAGGAACACACACTTACCTCCAGTTATTAGATCTTTAGAATGTGCATACAGAATATGACCACAGGGTAGCATGTAATCATTGAAACGCTCACAAGCACATCGTGCACTTGAAGTATCAACAACATAAATCACAACCTTTTCGTAGCATCGGATGTATTCCCCTGCTATACATTCGTCTCTCATTGTCCTAACACGTTTATAATTTACAGCGACAATTTTAGCTGCAAAAGATGTTGACTCACAACTACAGGAAATAATC